AGGGGCGGAACCGGAAAGGGGCGGACGGAGCCAGAGCGCAGGCGCCGCGGGGAGAGCAGCATGGCGGGGCGGGGGGAACTCGGGTCCGGGAGGGATAAAAACACAGAGAGACCCAGAGAGGCACTCCAGGGACATTCACGCACACACACAGAGACAGTCACAGAGAGACTCCCATGGACAGAGACACTCAGAGAAACAGACTCTCAGAGGGACACACACATGGACACACAGAAATACAGAGACAGTCACAGACTCTCACAGAGAAACTCACAGAGACACTCTCAGAGAAACAGACTCATAGAGGGACTCAGACACTCTCAGAGGGACACTTACAGGGACACACAGAGACACTCAGACACTGACAGAGAGACACTCAGAGACACAGACAGACAAACACACACACAGACACCCAGAGACTCTCAGGCACTCACAGAGACACAGGGGGACACAGAGACACACACATGGCCCCCTCAGGGCCATGACTCTTTCATGGCACTACTTTCCTATTTATTCAAAAGATGCTGAAGTTTTTCTTATAGAATTATGGAATTTTAGGGGTTGGAATGGACCTTACTGATCATTCAGTCCCAATCCCCCCTGCCCTGGGCAGGGACACCTCCTCACAGGATCAGGTTGCTCAAGGCTCATCCAACCTGGCCTTGAACACTGCCAGGGTTGGGGCAGCCACAGCCTCCCTGGGCAACCTGTGCCAGTGTCTCACCACCCTTACAGTAAAAAGGTTTTTCCAATATCTAACCTAAACTTCCCCTCCTTCAGTTTGAACCTATTACCCCTGGTCTTATCACTGCAGTTCCTAACACAGAGTCCCTCCCTGGTTCCTTGTAGGCCCTTCAGATATTGAAAAGTTGCTCTGAGGTCTTCACACAGTCTTCTCCAGGCTGAACAGCCCCAACTCCCTCACCTTGTCTTCATAGGGAAGGTGCTCCAGTCCTCTTACCAGCTTTGTGGCCTTCTCTGGACTTGCTCCAACAGTTCCATGACCACCTTATGCTGGAGACACCAGAACTGTGTGCAGTACTCCAGGTGGGAGTTCTTTCCTCAAAGAACAAACCAAACCTCCTTAAATGGATGGGATCTACTATTAAAAAAATATAATTGGCTGTTTCTGCCAGGCTATTTCTGCTTTGCTAATCACCAGAGCACACTTTGCACTTTCAGATTTCCAGAGACAGAAAGCAAGGCAGACATTCTTCAGCAGTGACAGAACCATCTAAATACTTATGTACCATGAGCAGTTTAACGACCTCACTGAATCAAGGAACACTTTGTGGATATTCAGTTTAGCCCTTAAGATCCACTCCCTTAAGTGGCTATTCAGTTTTGCCACTAGCCAACTGCTGTCATACTGTTACATAAGAGACAGTTGAGATAGCAGAACATAATTTAAACATTTAGAACTTAGCAGCACCATAAGAATACAGAACTATTAACAGACATTGCTAGAGTGGGAATGTATTCAGGTATCTTTGTGTCAGAAGGATTTGCCTAACACAACTCCAATAAAATACTCTTCATAGTGTGTCCCTGGATGAACTGTAGATGCTCATGTGAGCATCTTGTAAGGTATAGGGAAAAACCTCCATGTTACAACAACTGTATTATACAACAAACCATATCAAATGCAAAATCACTTCATTATAAACTATTATTGCTACATTCATTGAAAAAGTACAAAATTAATTAATTTCATACAAAAAAAGCCTCCCCAGAGTTTTGGTAATTAGCAGAACATTTCAGTTTCTTTAATTGCTTCCATTAGAGTCATTTGTCCATTTTATTAACACCAGATGCAATAACACAATGCTAAAAATAAACATGCATTATACAACAAATCTGTATTTTTCAAAAAAAGTTCATTACAATTAGT